CACGTACTGCCATTGATTTTTGAAAAGAAATCTGCCACTACTTTGAGCTCATTGCTTTTAAAGCATGAATTGAAAACTCAAAAAACTGTGAAAATGTTAAAGCCAGAAAATGTATTCGAGGCTAACAAAGCCTTTCTTGGGACCCTCCTCATCCAGGGAATCCCAATTTAATACTAACTTACCTGTGGCCTAGTCTGTCCCCACATGAGTAAACTCCTCAAGGATAGGAACGAGGTGTTCCTGTGTAGTTCCCAGGCCCAACCTGGTGATGGACACATAATAGGTGTTCATTATACATTGAAAGCAAAAATCAATTTTTTAAGGAGACTGGGATTTAATAAAATTGTCTTGGCCTGCGGAAATCTGTTATTTTAGGCTTACTTTCTTTGCTTAGTAAACAATACCTTACACGGGAATAGTCTTCAGAAGGTTGCAAAGCCCTCTGTGTTTTGCTTAATTTATCCAAAAAATGAGAATATGAAGTAAGTGATTTTATCCAAACTTTAGAGATAAGGTGAGAAGGCTCTCAGGCATTCATGGAGCCAGAAACCCTGGAAAAGGCCCAAGCACATGCCGGGTGTACCCTGCTAGGTTCTACCTGGCCACCCTCCAGGGAGTCCCCAGGCAGAAGAGATCACAAACTCCTGCACTTGGGTTTCCGGTGACTGTTTCAGCAAGCCGAGAATGGGACTCCTTAGTTATGAGAACACAAAGCTGGTAAGATATGGCAGCGCTTGTCAAGCGGTGTGCCATAAGAACTTTCAAAACATGCAACACCTGACTGTTTAGTCAGGGGCCCTGATCTCTTTTCCCTTGGATTGTCCACTAAAAAAATTACAACACAATAGCTGTCCGGTGTGAATGAATTAAAGTTATACCTATTTTTTTGTCAGATCGGCAAAAAAATATATTTTTCGGTGTGCTGCAGAATCCTGGTAATTAGATTCTGTGTGCCATGGGGTGAAAAAGGTTGAACATCGCTGTGATAAGGGAACAGCAATAATGCTGGCACTTTTATCTAATTATCAGCAAGTCCTTGTCCAGGACATTTAATACCTTTTATAAATGTATAATTTGCTTGGCAGGTATTTCTCCTTTAGTGAAAACAATTGGTCTTAGCAGCAAAAGATGCTGACAGTCACTGCAGATGGGTGCCTAGTGGCTCTTGCTGGGCTGATAAGAGTCCATTTCCAGGAAAATGTAACCTTGATTTCTTATAAAACATCGGTCATCTCAGATAATGGTGACAATCTAGGTACGGATGCTTATATTCATATCTCACATCAGGCAGTTTTAAGTGACTTTATCTGTAAGCTTTTAAATGGAAAAACTAAAGTACAGAGAAGCATGTTGTCTTAGATCACTCTGCAAATCAAAACACGTACTTCTTAAAAGAAAATATTCTTTTCTTGTGTTAAGGACAAACCCCATGAGGCAGAAATATAGTTATGCAGCTGTCGGTGGGGAGGGCAGGGAATTTCCTCAGCCACCCATGCAGGAAGAGGAGGGGCCTTATCCATTGGCTGGCTCATCTTATGAAGATCCACTGGAAATTAGGTGGACACAGAGCACCATTCTCTGTGCTTGCGGAACATTTTCCAAAGCACAGATGTTTTTCTCTTAACTGTGAACGCTGGCTGGCTTGTACATATCCCTTTTCAGGGCTCAGCTGATGGGCTGATTCGGAGTGAGTTGTCCCCTGTAGCTTGGGACCCATGTTCATTGCTGGATGGAAAACACATCTTTGGCTAGACAGACATAAATCAATATTACGGGAAAATGTTTCCATTTTGGGAAATTCCCCAAAATAAAAGTGTCTTTCTGGCTCTGGGCCTATATAACTAACCATGAGGACACCTCAATAAAAAAGAAAATGGATTTTCAATAGTTTTGCCATACTAGTGATATGTGATTATGAGCTCCTGAAGATTTTTCTGTTCCACTTTAGAAACAAAAAGTTGACTCATTTTTTTTTCTGGTTAGTGCCTCAGTGTTTTCATTAGGTATTTCTAAAAGACTTTATCTGAATCACAGTAAGAAAATTATTTCAGAGCTAGGATAAAATTTTACCTGTCATAAACAGCACTGAGTGTTAAAACCTGCTTTGAGCTTAACAAATTACACAGAAGCTTAATGCCCAGGAATACAATATATCAAGTAAACCAGTAATTTTTCAAACACTGAAAGGTTCAATTAATTTAGATAATACAAGTTTGGAAATGCAAGGTTGGCTAAAAATATTATAAATCCTATTAACTTGCTAATTAAGTTTGTTTTATTAGAATATTTTAATTTCCTAGCAATCAAATAGCATTTAACTTTTTACAACAAATATTTCATCATATGGATAGACACATTCATCTGTTATTTATTATCTGTCAAGATTGATATGCTAAATTATAACTTAGCTTAATGTGCTCTCATTAAGTATCTTGAGGATAAATTTAAATTTTCAGTAAAAATGCAATTAACTTGAAATGTAGACCCAAAAAATGCTTGTGGAGGAAAAAAATCCATCATTACGTTTAAGCTTTATGTTTATGTAAGTATTTATTTATATAGTGGGAGAGAAAAAACTTTCCAGATAATTACGAATGAGATACTGTGATATAATACATTATTTCTGTGTTAAAGCCACTGACATTTGCTTTTTTAAAATTAATTTTGAGTTGTATATGAAAGGTCTATTAATCAGAAAAACACAAGGTTATCTTTAAACTTACTTGTTCAGATATTTCCAAACTGGAAACCCGGAAAATCATAAAGTTGCAAACTGGCGTTATACCTTTTCTGGGGACAAAATGGTGAGCTGTTGCTTCCTTTTTGGGTGTGTGCACACAGAGCACTGTGTCCACTGAAAACCACCTGGGGGCTGGGGTACCTCACGTGTCAACGCTCAAAGTCATCGTTAATTGTGAGCACCTTGAGTTTCAGTTCCAGAAGGGACAGAAATCTGAGCCATGAGATGCCCCCAAGTGAGGAGCCATGTTGAAAATTTCATAAAATGTCTTTGTATAAATTACACCCAGACCTGAGAATAGGGCAGCCCTGTGGAATTTAAATATTATCTGAAATGTCGTTATGTGAAAACCACTTTAGAAGCACACAGCCCACTCTTCTCTGAACCAATGGTGTTTCTAGAATTGCCTTGATCCATTCTATCTTTAAAGGAAAATACAGTTTTATTGATATTATGGTTTTGATACTTAATACCTATGTGACCTTCGGCAAATTCCTTAACTTCTCTTGCCCTAGTGTCCTCATCTGTAAAATGGTGAAGGTTGTGGCAGGGATTAAGTGAGTTAATGTCAACTGTTAAAACTAGTATAATCCCTGGCTGGCATGGCTCAGTGGTTGAACATTGACTTATGAACCAGGAGGTTATGGTTCAATTCTGGGTCAGGGCACATGCCTGGGTGTGGGCTCGATCCCCATTGGGAGGCATGTAAGAGGCAGCCAATCAATGATTCTTTCTCATCATTGATGTTTCTATCTCTCTCTTTCTCTCTGAAATCAATAAAAATATATTTTTTAAAAATACTAGTATTATCACTCATCTACTAGATTAACTCATAATTTTGCAGAGAAGCCATCAGCATTAAAATTTAAAAAAGCAATTACAACACAATTCATAAGTTTTTTCCAAAATGTAAAAAGACTCAATCTTTAAAAAACTTTCATAAGACCCCCAAAATGACTATTGCTTGGCTCAGAATTATCTATCCTAAATACATTTAGATTCTTTCTAGCTTTAACCACCCCTACTCCACCCTCCTCCCCACCCCACAACTAAATTCATGCACAAAGAGTCCTGTTGCATCAAAGATGAACTTGCTGATCAAGACTTTAGAACTGATCCTTAGGGCATGCCTCCCAGGCACAGGGTTGGTAAGGAGATGAGTTCCTTCTAGAAGATGAAGCTGAGAGATAACAACAAACAGTTTTCCCTCCTTCAGGATACTCCTCACTACCTTCCTTCTGTGTGAGATTAGGAGTAGCGCTACACCTGCAGGCACAACTCTAAGATCGGATGTGTCCAGACTGATCTAAATGTATCCCTAGGTCAGTGGTCTGCAAACTCATTAGTCAACAGAACCAAATATCAACAGTACAACGATTGAAAATTTTTTTGAGAGCCAAATTTTTTAAACTTAAACTATATAGGTAGGTACATTGTTATTAACTTAATTAGGGTACTCCTAAGGCTTAGGAAGAGCCACACTCAAGGGGCAAAAGAACCGCATGTGGCTTACGAGCCGCAGTTTGCCAACCACTGCCCTAGGTCCTCTCTCTCTGGTGGTCCTCTCCGTAGCTAGAGATGAGCAAGAAGCACACACCATCCGCCCGGGCACTCCATTTTCCACACTTGCTGAGGGAGGTCTTAGAGAACAGAATGCACCAAATCAGGAGCTCCCACAGATCACACTCAGCTTTCTCAAGTGAGGAAAGAAGAGCTGGTCAAGGAAGGCTGCTGAGCTAAATTTATGAGCTACTCCACAGAACATGAAGCTAGAGGGGTCATTTCTGCAGTCACTATGCTATTTCTATGACATATAGGAGTCACCCACTAGCTCTAGGAAGTAAGGAGAGTAATTTAAGTTCAAATCTTTATGTCAGGATTTAGTATCGAACAGGGAGATACTCTTTGCCTCTGCTGCTTGTCTTAGACAGACACATGAGGGTCCCAGGGAAGCTGGCTACCTTCTCTAGGTGGTAGTGGGTTAAAGCAGATCCCAATCTCTGGAAGTTTTAGTTGTAGGCCCTTTCCCAGGGAACTATTATTTGAATGTCACTATTCTAGGAGGCAGTCAAATTCAAGGCAGGAGTACACTAAATCACAGACATGATGACAATGCAAATGTTTAGTGCTGGTGGTTGCCTGTTATTTCCTAGGTGATACTGTTGGCCCACAGGCTTCCTTTCTTTTTTACAAAATAAGCAAATGTTTACTTTATCATTTACACACATAAAATATACAGAAACAACATACAAACTGCTCAAAATGCAAATACTCTGGTTTACTTATCACAATAGCAAATAAAAAAATAGCAAAAACCTTTTCAGTTAAATAAAAAAGTGGCATTCTTTATTTACCTATCAAACCTTACTAAGCATTGAAATGCATTCATTTTCATTCTCATGTTCTGTGGTAATATCCTTTCTTCCCTTTTGCCCCTCATTACCCTAAATTATTTTGATGGGCTCATCTCTAAAAGAAAGATTGTTTTAATTTTCTTAATATCACGTACTTTTTATTGCCCTAATATCAAGAACAATCTAGAGTTTTCTTTGTCTTTTACATTTGAAATGAATATTAAAAATGGAGAGTCCATCAGCACATTTTCAAGGTAACATGAAAGTTAAGCCCTCAGCAAGCATTTCAAAGCAATGGCATGCCATTCTGTTCTGGGGAATTATCATGTTTGGGGAAGTGTCAGGTTGGTACTAAAAACCAGGACTCACCTCCAGAAGCAGATCTGATATTAAACATTATTCATAACCTCAAATACAGTTGTTTTCTATAATAGAGAAGCAGTTTTCTAGTTCTCTGAGGGTTCCAATTTGACTACCTTAATTCTTTAATGTCTTAATAAAGACAATTCTTGAATGTCAATGACAAAAGTATTTAGCAAAAGAATGTTCGACAAAGGTAGAGTTGAAAATGGAATGGTTTCAAATGGAGAAATGACAGCAAGGGAAAGTTCTTGGCTTTTTAAAAGAGGTATATATACATAGTAAGGAATAAAAGTGAATCAAAACACATAATTCTGTACATGTTAGAAATATCCAATGTGCTGCCAACACAACAACTGCCCTAAAAAAGATGCATCGAGGTTTGGAGCCACACATACTTTTCTCTGTATAACTCGACATTTGCGTTATGCGACCAAACATCTTTCCCAGGTTCTGTTAACCCTTAGAAGCATTTAACAACTTTTGGCAATATGCTTTTCTTCAAATAAAACGAGCTTCACAAGACATTGTCATTAATGTCTGACACTTGGATTGGGCAAAGTCTTTCTGAAATATGTTTACTCTTCAAAAAAACTCTTCTTTCCTTCATAAATCAACAGCGCTCCATCTTCAGATAAATCAGGAGCAGTCACCATCTTAATTCACATGCTCATATGTTCTCTTCATCCAACATTTTGTTGACGCCATCACAAAGTTTTTTTAAGTGGGGTTTAAAATTCCCAAAGGGATTATACAAGGCAGCCAGAAAATCACAATCTGAAAAGTGATCAAAGACATTATTAATCCGTCCGTGCGACTTTGCGGTGAGGTGGCGCTGAATGATCTGGTGCAGCAACTCTCTGCATTCGTTCAGCAGCCTGGACAGCACGTTCCGGTCAAAGGTGTAGTCCACCTGATGGAAACTGACCACGGTCATCGCAAGCTGATGAACTTTCTTCTTAAATTTCTCCATCAGCGCTAGCTCATCTTGATTGAACTGATTATTCCTGTACAGAATGGCCAACTTGAGGACTGTTTTGATGAGGTTTTTGATGATCTTCTCGGCCTCCTTCTTGTTCTGGGTGTACTCCCTGGTCACCCGGTACAGCTCATCTAGCACTTCGCTGCTCGTGTCATCGATTAAGGTGGTAGCGATGGATTTGGATACCATTTTACCCAAGATCTTCTTTTGTGCCTGAACGGCCAGGTTTTTGGAATTAAAGACATCTGTGGCCACTAAAAAACAAAGGGTGGGGGAATAACAGATCAGTATCAGTGACAGAGCAAATTAAAAACAGATACAATGGTGCATTTTCCTTCTCATTTTCCCACTATATGTACAATATGTCTCCCATCTACTGATATTAGTTTCTGTTTAGAAAAGAGCTAAAAAAAAAAATTTCCCTACATTCCTGGGCATTAGGTTGTAATTGTTGTGCATAATCTTTAAAGTCTTTGGCAATTCGAGTATTTTTTTTAATATTGATTTTTAGAGGGAGAGACGGGGGAGGGAGAGAGAAAAACATCAATGTGATAGGGTAACATCGATCAACTGCTTCCTGCAGGCCCCCTACCCGGGATAGAGCCTGAAACCTGGGCAGGTGCCCTAACTGGGAATGGAATCAGCAATCTTTCGGTACATGGGATGACACCCAACCAACTGAGCCACACTGGCCAGGGCGGCAATTCAAGTATTTTATACCTTCTGCTATGTTGTCAATACTTCGCTTAGAAGTTAAAGGGTTCAACTTTCTTAAAAATAACATTTTCTAATTAAAAAGAGTATGTCTCAGGAGGGAGTAAGGTTTTGTGCAATTTTTCTCTAGCTTCATTTGATAAGAAAGACATCAAAAAATATAAAATCAAGTGTCCTCTGGGAAACAGTTACCAAGAATAATTTAAAGAAACTCATTTAAATGTAAGAGGGACAGATGACAAAGCTATGATATTGAGTAAAACGGCAAAATCATGGAAGCAAATCCAAAGGAGAGCCCAGCGTTACAATACACTTGTAAAAAGTCAAATTTCCCAAGACACTGGTCTATACCTACCAGTTTGGCCATCCTAACCACCCTGAATTTCAAGTCCCAGAAGCTGAGTATTGGGAAAAAAATTCATTGGAGAGCTTCTTGTCACTTGCTATTTCTGATGAATGGCCACTGCTCCCTTTACACTTTTCTATGTTTTCAGAAAATAACCATACTGTATGAGCCAATAATATGTGCTACATGAACAATATACTCTGAAAAAGCCGAGTCTTAGAGTTTGCCTCTCGAATTATCCTAACTTAATTTGACAGAGGTTTAAGGTACATATTATAATAGTTGTATGTGTTAAATATTAATGAGACACTATGTGATGTTTCTAGCTTACAGCCAATCAGTGAAAATGCTCAAGCAATGTTTATTCCAAACCAAGTTTAGTTTTTCTCCAGTTCCCAGCCCCATCCCCCACTCTGTGCATGCGGCTCCACCACAGCTGTGCTTTATCCCTTTGCCTCGGTCCTCAGAGCTGTAGAGCTCAGGGTCTCTGCTCCACCTTTGGGTCCAGGAGCAGCTGTTCCCTCCATATGCCCGTGTATAGGTCTAGGTCTGGGTGTTGGAAAGCACTCATCCAGTAATGAAAGATAAAAGGCTTAAAAAGACAGATTATGAAGAATGAGTCAGGACATTAATGGTATAAAATTACTTCTAGTTTGGACAGGCCAGCAACATTAGAAAACTGCTGCTCCCGAATCCAGGCTGGGAGCACGTATCAGGAGTGACTGCCTCAGTGTGGAACTGCCGTGTTGGATTTGAAGTTTGGGCCAAAGTAGCTCATGGTGTATAGTACAGGCAGCTGCAGAGTGGTTCCCTGAGACCAGAACATCATTCCTGAATATGCAGGGCCACACACTGTGAAAGAACAGCGTGATTGGACTAGAAGTCGTACCCTCAAACAAATGTTGATATTTAAACTTCGGAAAACTGAACTGAAACTGCAGAAGAAGAAATGAAATATATTTTGAGAAAGAAAAGGAAAGTGAAAAAGCATGAGAAACAGGCAACTTTGTGAAGGTTTCCAAACTTTTTTATGCTTTCATCATTTAAGCAAGTAGTCCATTTCTATTCCTATTCTCCAGTGGTTTTGCAAAAGAGCCTATGGGTTAACTCACACCTAAGAACCAATAGCTAAAGAAATGGGAATGCAATCAGCAGTCTTTCGGTGCACGGGATGACACCCAACCAACTGAGCCATGCTGGCCAGGGCTGCAAGTCAAGTATTTTATACCTTCAGCTATGTCGTCAATAATTTGCTTAGAAATTAATATTACCATATTAAGACCAGGGACTATCTTCCATTACTGAACTTATGATATGGACCTCAACAAGTAAATAAACCTGATTGATACAGAAAGGGATACCCCCCAAATTTTCAAATACACAGTAAGTAACTTAGGATTTCAGGTATTTATTATATATAAAGTTGAAAGGTTATTCTGCTTTTAATCTATTAGAACACAGCACAGTCGCAAACATCCCATCTGGGATTCACTGCAATGCCTATTAGATGGAGTACCGTCATACACACATGGTGAAATAACTGAAGCTGGCAGAGTGTGGTCCTAGATGCCTCTGTGCTCCTTTTTCCAAGGCTGGGCTGCAAGCCTGCCCCTCGTCTAGGCTACTTTTCTTATTAAATCTAAATATCCCATTTAATTTCAAACACAGAGACCAAACAGAAACTCTGTGGTGCAGCACTTTCACTTCCCACAAGAGAAAGTATAAAAGGCAAGGCTACTGCCAGTTAAGCAAGATTGGTCCTCATTTACTGGTAACCACGTCTGAAGCAGGACAGAGAAGTTGATCTCTGAGGCTCTCACACTCATCTCAGGAACTTCAAATCCTGCTCTAGAAACACGGCAGTAGCTTCACACTCGGTTTTGTTCTGCAGTCACCTCTCAAAATGAGAATGAAGCTCTTTCTCCCCCTTTGCAGGGAAGACGTGCCTGCAGCTAATTTATTTTCTCCCATTAGTGGAGGCTTCTTTGGAGCCAACTGGGGATTGCGGCTGGGAGCTCTTGGCCAGGACTGTGTGGTCTGTGACCATGAAATGTGATTTTCTTTTCCTAGTAAATTAACCGCCTTTAGCCATTCCTGCTCAGGCTCATTTGTCAGTTCCACATCCTCTACCAGATCCTGTAAAGGCCTGGTGTATCTCAGAGCTCGTCCTGAACCGTTTTCCTGCTTCGCTCTACCCTCACTCCTGTGTGACCTCACCCACTCCCGTGGCTTCAGATGCATCCATGTGCCAATGACACCCACAGTCATAACTCAGCCCTGACCTCTTTTCCGAATTCATTTTGCAAATGCATTCAAGGTTTTTCTTTTCCTTGGCTATTTTGCAGGCATCTCAAATGTACCACGCCCCAAACTGAATCCTTGGTTTCCTCCTGCCCCCAAAGTACTCCTCCTCCATTCTATCACCATCTTAATTAATAGCATCCCTTCCATCCATTTGCTCCAGTCAGAGTCCTGGGAGTCAGCCACCATACTATCCGCTCCCTTACCCAGTCCATTATCAAGTTCTTTCTATGCTACCTGCCGCGATTCTCTAAATTCTATCTACTTCCCACCATCTCCACACACATCAGTCTAGTTTATGCCCCTTTCCAATCTGTTCCCACAAAGTAGCCAGGATTTTAAAAAATGTAAATTAGAAAATGATGCTCCGCTTAAAATATTTGCTAACCATCACACTTTCTTGTTCCTGAAATTCTCATTTGCCTAAATTTTTAATGTCTGCCTCTCCTTACCAGAATTTAAGTATTTTTTAAAATCCTCACCCAAGGATATTTTTCCGTTGATTTTTAGAGAGAGTGGAAGGGAGAAACATCGACATGAGAGACATACATCATGGACTGGTTGCCTCTTGCCGGGGACTGGGGATAGAACCCACAACTGAGATATGTGCCCTTGACCGGGAAGCCCATGGCTCTTTGATCTATGGGCCAACACTCTAACCACTGAGCAAAACTGGCAGGGCAGAATCTAAGCTTTTTGAGAGCAGAAACTGTGTCTTGCTCACTGTGTCATCCCCGGGCCTAAAAGGGTGCCTGGTACATGGTGCTTCTGAAAGAAGCAGAATCCATTTCTCCCCTCTTCACTATACTTAAATACTTCTCCATGGAAACATGCTGAGCTGCAAAATTAGAGTTTTAAATATATATGTGGGAGTTTTTGTTTGTTTGCTTTAAAGGCTAATGAAACAGATATTTGTTTTATCTAGCTAACAATGCGGTTTTCTTCCCCTTAAGAGCACTCCAGAGGGTGGTTTCTCTTACAGTCATCAATCAGCTCTCTTAAAGAGGGAAGATTTGTTATGCACCATGAGAAAACAGCAGAGGACAACAATTCAAATACTCAGTGGTTCTGACTGAGATACAGTAGAAGGAAACTTCTGCTTCTGATTGGACCTATGATTAAGGAGGTAACAGAGGGATGGACCAAAGGTATGTCCTGGGACGCAGCCAAGATGTGGATAGATGGTATCAAGGAGAAAGTGCTGAAAGTATTGATTCAATGTTTTACCTACTAGGGTGAATTCACTTGTGTTTTAAAATATACATGTACATTGTTGACTAATGAAAAATGAAGCCACATGTTAAAAGTAAACAAAGGATTACTACTATGCTAAAACTACTGAGGAGTATTTTACAGAAACAATTGTAAATGTTATTTTGCACCTACTTATCTTACTGCCCCTTCCCCCATCCTTGGTAGCTCCTTTCTTGGCTTAATCAAATAGTCCATTTTAGCAATGTTTGCTGAAAAGCAAATTGATATTCAGGGAATTCTGGCTTTAACATCAGCAATTATAAATCTGGAGATAAACATGAATGGTAAAAATATACTGACCCCTGTATATATTTTACAAAGTACTCAGAAGGTTAAAAATACACACATTTGTACAGCATTAACTAATGAAAAATTATAGTTTTATGAAATTAATAAAAATTCCCCATAACATTACCCCAACTCAGAAATTGCTAATACAGTGAAGCACTCAAGTCACGTCTTTTTTTTAAATTTTGTTTTATTGCTTAAAGTATTACAAAGAGTAGACATATGTCTCCTTTTTTTCCCCCTTGACCATCCCCCCGCCTCCCTTACCCCCTCAGTGTCTTGTGTCCATTGGTTATGCTTATATGCACGCATACAAGTCCTTCAGTTGATCTCTTACCAACGCCCCCCCCA